AAGAGAGTATTAATATTGGAAAGCCATCAAGTTGTGAAAACCTTTTTACAGGCGTTTCTTTCAAACATTTACATTTAAAATGGATATTTGTAAACAGCCCTTATGTGTGACTCGACTCGAGACCATCACACAAAAATAATTAGCATCAAAATAATAGTAAATATTTGAAGTAAAGATATAAAAGCAATATTTGAAGAAGGTTTGATCAACTCTAATCATATTTCTTGAAATTAAAGATACTTCGGGGCCAGTAACTCTTTTTTATTATCTCGACGTTTCGACAAAAATCTTTTGTCCTCGTCAGGAGCGAACAAAAATTGAAACATTTGGCAAAGCGTTAAAAAATTATCATATAGCATAAGAAAATATAACGCCTTGCCAAATGTGTTAATTTTTGTTTGCTCCAAGGAGGACAAAATATTTTTGTCGGAACTTCGAGGTAATAAAACTATTTACAGGGCCGAAGTATATTTAATTTGAAGAACTATGAATGCCACCGGCCAGGCAGCCTCTATCTTTACAATATTTCTAATCATGTCACCCGTAAGAGCTGTTTACAAATATTTATTTTGATATGTTTATATTTATATTATAAAAAAGGGCGTACCTGGATCTGTAAAAGAAAAAAAAAAAAAAAAAAACAATTTTTTTCTCAAAATATTTCGAGAGATTGCTCCCTCTTGTAAGAAACGCTTGTGGAAGAGTTCAACTCGAAAGCTTGAAAAAATAATAGACTAATAGACGAAACGTGAAGTGGAATGTCTTTGATGTCAATGGACGTCTATTTTTGAAGGATACAGAGGTTGGTTCACATTTGGTTATCTCGTGTGTCTTCAATTAAGGTCGCTGTAATATCTTTTAGAGTTATTGTCTGAATCCCGATATACATGCTAAAAGGTACAACTTACTTAAGTTTTGTCCATGAGTGTATCTTTCAGAGTTATTGTCTGAATCCCGTTAAACATGCTAAAAGGTACAACTTCCTTAAGTTTTGTCCATGAGTGTATCTTTCAGAGTTATTGTCTGAATCCCGATATACATGCTAAAAGGTACAACTTCCTTAAGTTTTGTCCATGAGTGTATCTTTCAGAGTTATTGTCTGAATCCCGATATACATACTAAAAGGTATCACTTCTTTAAGTTTTGTCCATGAGTGTAAATTTGGCGAAAAGATTTTGCCGCGTACTTGATTAAATTTTTAAAATATTTTATGCAAATTTTAAAAGCAATGAATTTGCATATCTGTTTGCATGGAAGAATTCAAGTCACGTGACCTTCAACGCGCCTCGTGATTGGCTCAAACAAGTCACGTGATGTACTGTCCACCAAACGACAACCTATCAATAAAAAAACTAACTTAATTATTTTTAAATTACAAAACTATTTTAGACGCGTAATATTCTTTTTAGAATAAAACAATTTCTACTGCCCTTACTGCAATGGAAAAATTAAAGGGAGGGCCTGGCTCATCAGTGGTGAACCCTCCCAGCGGTTTCGCCAGTTTAATCTACCATAACGCTGTTATATTGCATTTTTGGAACTTCCTTTTATAGTGATACTGATGCTAGACTCTTTAATGGGTATTTTAGATGAACTATGGATATAAGTTTTGAGGACAGCAGAATTACATACAATTATATAATATATAATATGCTTCGAGCAATCGCTCTTCGGCAAATATCGATTTGTGTCTTTTATTGGAACAATTATATTACGATGCACTAGCGTGCCATCTGTTATCAAATTACAAAACTATTTTAGACTCGTAATATTATTTTTAAAATATTTATTAATATATTTATAATTGTATGTAATTCTACTGTCCTCAAAGCTTATGTCCATAGTTCATCTAAAATACCCATTCGAAGAGTCAAGCATCAGTATCACTATAAAAGGAAGTTCCAAAAATGCAATATAACAGCGGTATGGTAGATTAAACTGGCGAAACCGCTGGTAGGGTTCACCACTGATGAGCCAGGCCCTCCCTTTAATTTTTCCATTGCAGTAAGGGCAGTAGAAATTGTTTTATTTTAAAAAGAATATTACGCGTCTAAAATAGTTTTGTAATTTGATAACAGATGGCGCGCTAGTGTATCGTAATTTAATTATTTTTCCTCAATCATTTTTTAACGTTTGTGTTATTTTTTTAATTAGAACTAATTAAATATGTAAATACGGCGGGATTTCTCTACATATATAATTAGATTGTTTAATTGAAGGATAATCAAATAAAAATTGGAGAGTTTTTTTTTATTAAAATTAGTTTACAATTGCTGTATTTGAATAGGTACTGGAGAAACTTGTGACAAGTGTTTTTTTTATCGTTGTCAACACAAGTAAAAAAATTTAAGTCGGTGAACAAGAGGGTAACACCCTCGATTCCCGACAGCCATGAACCGGGATTGAATCCCGCGTTAACATTTTGTTTAATATGTGAATAACCTTCATATATTATTCACTGTTTCAATGATCATGAACTAGGTTGCTCTTGTTGAGCGGTACCTATTAATGTGATTTTGGAACAGGAGCGGTACCTAATAAAGTGGTTTTGGAACAAGAGCAGTACCTCATAAAGTGATTTTGGAACAGGAGCGGTACCTAATAAAGTGGTTTTGGAACAAGAGCGGTACCTCATAAAGTGATTTTGGAACAAGAGCGGTACCTAATAAAGTGGTTTTGGAACAAGAGCAGTACCTCATAAAGTGATTTTGGAACAAGAGCGGTACCTAATAAAGTGGTTTTGGAACAACACAAGTAAATGTGACATGAAATATAGGTTTTTAACTTTTAATTAGTCAATTTTAACTCGTATTTAGACACCATCAGATGCACGATCAGGAAAGGCCTTTTATTTTTCCACCTAATCCAAGTACAAATTCACTTTTGTACTGTTTCTCATCATAAACTAGGTTGTTTTTTTTTTTTTTGAGAGGTACCAAGTAAAGTGATTTTGGAATATGAAAACCAAGAAAAAAATAGAAAGATGATCAGGCGTTGATATTAAAAACAAGAAAAGGCATTTCCTTATCGCTTACATGATAATTTTAGATGGTATAGCGCCATCTAATGGAATAAAAATCAATTAAACGTTGATTTTAGCTTGTTCCAAATGATATTTGGCCAAACCAAACCTCTATTGAAGACACACGAGATAACCAAGTGTGAACAGCCTCTGTCTTAAAAAAAAAAAAAAAAAACTGACGACCGACGATATTAAAGACTTTCCTTAAGTAGTATCCGTGAGTGTGTGTATATAATAAATCTGCAGTAGAATTCTCAATACTCGAAAGCCTGTCATTTTAAAATATTTTTTATAATTCCATAAAAATAAATTTTGTTAATTAATAGCGAAATATTTCATGTTTAAACAAAATTACCTCTGTGTTCTTCAATAAATCAGACGACCGACGATATCAAAGACTTATCAATTCCTTAAGTTTTGTCCATGAGTGTAATGCACAATAAAGAAAAGTAAAGTTTTAAATGGTATTTCATCGTTTGGTATTTTCGAACGTTTAATATTCCCCTATATATCATAATTCAATATAGATTTAGAAAAAATGCTAGAAATTTCTTTCTTTTATACAGAGTTCTCTCGTTAAGTTTTAAAAGCTTCATTTGTCCTTTGAATGTTTAAACTCATACAATTGGTTTTCTCTTCTCTCTTAATTCTTTTGCTTATCCCTAGTACACGTGGTACAGGCCATGATAATCATGGTGGGTAGAAGTAGGCGACTGCTTTTACTGTAAGTACACCACATGTCTACACACGTGAAAAGCAGTTAGACTTTGCACTTACAAATAAATATGCCAGAGCCCTGTTTGGTTATTTGTACTTGCTGATGGGATTGGACTTTTGCAAGAATAGGGGGACATTAGAGCTTTTTTTATCAGAAAAAAAGTGCCCCTTGCGGGAATCGAACCCAGGTCGTAGCGGTCGTAAAACTAATGGTTTATACCAGCCTTCCACCAACCCCCCCTTCTCTCTTAATAATAATGATAAATGAAGAATTTTAATGTAAATATTTGATGGCAATGTTTTATTTTTTCTCACTTTCTCCTTGTTAATATCATATGACTATTCACGGCCTAAAATTATTGTATATATTTATGTATAGACAAAGACATACATGTATGACAGGGTAAGTGTCCCTAGGGGGACATAGCGCTTTATGTTGATATAAATAAATATATTCAGGTGAAGAATGAGAAAAAAAAACTCTTAAAAACACCTTCTGGAGATTTAGCAACCCACTGAAGACGCTGAGAACTATTTCAGAAAAGAAAAATATAGCAATAGAACTCTATAATTTCTACAGATCAATTGTAAATAGATTCATACACAAAATAGGTAGTGAGGAAAGTTTTAGAACAGATGTGTAAATAAATCCCTTTTCAAACAAAGGCTCACGTGTACTTGGGGAAAGGGAGAAAAAAATACTGTATTATTTTGTTGTTGTATGGCGAATCCATACAGGGCAATGGGCCCTAATAAAAGCATTTTTGTTGTTAAATAAAAAAATGAATATAAATAAAAAATATAGCCATATAATTGTTATAACTTTGTATCCAATCACAGTTTCCTATGAAAGCTGAAACTTCCATGTTATCTGCTAAATTGGCTGATGGAAGTTGGGGCCAAAAGTTTCCAGTACTTTTGTTTTACTTTCCCAAGATTCCCATGATGGATGCATCAAGTGATCAGTCAGTCACGTCTCGGCTGTTGTGATTGGTAACAAGTATAATTTGACTATTCCTGATTTTGTTTACAATTTATTAATTTATTCTTTATCGTGCGCTGTTGTAAGAAATTTAATCTATTTTTTACTCCGTTTTTTTTTTTTTATATAAAACGACATTTGAAAATTATCACGCATGTGTTTCTTTTAAACGATAAAATCGAAATTTATTTTAAGGAGAAATAACAATTATTCCTATCCTTTGGGATGAAGTATGAAAGGATGAATTGTGAAGTGTAATGATAAACTGAAAAATAAAAGTGTCCAGGAATGGGAATCGAACTCACAGTGTTCCGCTTATTCCGCTTACCGGGCAGATGCCATGTCCACTAGGCTACCCTAGACATATTTTTCCGTTCATAAATATTATTTAAAGTAATTTATAATACAATATAATTCGGCCCATGATTGTAGAACGAAATTGGGCATTTATTTTTCCGTTCATCATTACTCTTCACAATTCATCCTTTCATACTTCATCCCTAAGGTTAGAAATAATCTTTGTTTCTCCTTAAAATAAATATCGATTTTATCGTTCAAAAGAAACATTTGCGGGATAATTGCAAATTTCGTTAAATTTTTCCATATAGTAAAAACGAGTCTCAGAATGTAGAGATAAATTTATTTAGTGCAACACACTAAGCAAAACTTATAAATTTCACAAGTGAGAGAATATATATATTAAGTTAAAATATAGTATCAAAATATAAATATCAATATTTATAATCTGTTCAGAAAATAATAAAAACTTTACTGCAGTATATACATAAATATAAAGTGTTATACCACGTACGGGATAAACGTATAGGATTATTTATGGAAAGCTGGGAATCTATACAAACCAAAAATAGCATGAATAGGAAAAGGTAAATGCACTCATAGACAAAACTTAAGGAAGTTGTAAATCTTTGATATCGCCGGTCGTCTATTTTTATTAAGGAGAAAGAGGCTGTCCACACTTGGTTATCTGGTGTCTTTAATAAAGGTCACTGTAATATCTTTCAGAGTTTTTATCTGAATCCCGATATACATGCTAAAAGGTACAACTTCCTTAAGTTTTGTCCATGAGTGTATCTTTCAGAGTTATTATCTGAATCCCGATATACATGCTAAAAAGTACAACTTCCTTAAGTTTTGTCCATGAGTGTATCTTTCAGAGTTATTATCTGAATCCCGATATACATGCTAAAAAGTACAACTTCCTTAAGTTTTGTCCATGAGTGTATCTTTCAGAGTTATTGTCCGAATCCCGATATACATGCTAAAAAGTACAAGTTCCTTAAGTTTTGTCCATGAGTGTATCTTTCAGAGTTATTGTCTCAATCCCGATATACATGGTAAAAAGTACAACTTCCTTAAGTTTAATCCATGAGTGTATCTTTCAGAGTTATTTTCTGAATCCCAATATACATGCTAAAAAGTACAACTTCCTTAAGTTTTGTCCATGAGTGTATCTTTCAGAGTTATTGTCTCAATCCCGATATACATGGTAAAAAATACAACTTCCTTAAGTTTAATCCATGAGTGTATCTATCAGAGTTATTGTCTGAATCCCAGTATACATGCTAAAAAGTACAACTTCCTTAAGTTTTGTCCATGAGTGTAATTGTGCTATTTATTCCGACAGACGGTGATAACAATTAGAAAATTGTAGCTACACAATACATAGAGAAGTATACTGTCATGATATGGATGATAAAGTTGTATGTTTGAATGTAAGTTGTTAGAAAGAAGCACAAGCGTTACTTACAGTCGCTGTAGAGGCAAGGAGAGGTTGGCTGGTAGAGCACCGACACCGTTACATCGACATTCCTCACGGGAACACGAGCAGCCACGAGTGGTAGCGTGTCCAAAGGGAGCGGGCAACAGCGTGTGAGGGGTCCCAGCTAGCACGGCGATACCGTACGTCAACACCGCTGCTACCACCGGCAACATCTCCGAACGACCCCAGCGCCACCTTCGCCCCGTCACTGACATCAAGCCGTTTTACCCTAGGGGTCGGTAAACTGCGGTTCGCGAACAACATACAACTCTTTGTATGTAAAGCTACGACTCTTTATATACAGTTAAACCTGTCTATAGCGTCCCCTCTAAATAGCGCCTTCCTCTCTATATTTCTACTGCCTTTACTGCCCTTATTGTTTATTTTTAAAAGAATCATACGTGTTTATAATAGTTTCGAATTTTCATAACAGATGGCGTGCTAATGCACCATATTTTATACTCTGTATATATACAGTTAAACCTGTCTATAACGCCCACTCTAAATAATGCCTTCCTCTCTATAGCGCCCGATTTTAAATACGTAGTACGATGCGATTTACATTAAAAGTGACCTGTCTATAGCGCCTCCACTTCATAGCACCCTATTTTGATGAGTCCCAAGAGGGGGCGCTATAGACTGGTTTAACTGTTGTTCCATTACGCAAGTATTTATGTGAGTACTATTTATTGATGAGACAATAAAAATGTTGTGGCTCTTTAAAAACTTAGAAATTTTGTAAATTGTTACTCTTCCTACTCAAAAGATTGCCGACCCCTTTTTTAACCCTAACTCCACCATTCTCTTTCAATATAGAGACAGATTGGAACTTAAAAATACAAGATAATTAAACAAAAAATATCAAATATGCCGAATAAACTCTGGAAGAAAAATGACAAAAATTATAACAAAACTCAGAATGAAACACTATAAAGGAATGACAACACATTCAGATGGCACAAGAACCTACAGGACAATTGTCCTGGTGTGGAAATAACACCTACCCACATATTCGCATCTCCAGCAATGGCCGCAGCCTTCCAGAAAATTGACATGGACCCAGAACATAAGCTTTACACACCCAAGATAGAGAACATTGCTGTGATAGAGATGTACGGAGACATCTGATGCTCTTCATTGGACACAGCAACAACAGGAAATTGACCCAGAACAGCAGCTTTACACACCCAAGATAGAGAACATTGCTGTGATAGAGATGTACGGAGATATCTGAGGCTCTTCATTGGACACAACAGCAACAGAAAATTGACCCAGAACAGCAGCTTTACACACCCAAGATAGAGAACATTGCTGTGATAGAGATGTATATAGACATCTGAGGCTCTTCATTGGACACAACAGCAACAGAAAATTGACCCAGAACAGCAGCTTTACACACCCAAGATAGAGAACATTGCTGTGATAGAGATGTACGGAGATATCTGAGGCTCTTCATTAGACACAACAACAACAGAAAATTGACCCAGAACAGCAGCTTTACACACCCAAGATAGAGAGCATCGCTGTGATAGAGATGTATATAGACATCTGAGGCTCTTCATTAGACACAACAACAACAGAAAATTGACCCAGAATAGCAGCTTTACACACCCAAGATAGAGAACATTGCTGTGATAGAGATTTATATAGACATCTGAGGCTCTTCATTGGACACAACAACAACAGAAAATTGACCCAGAACAGCAGCTTTACACACCAAAGATAGAGAACATTGCTGTGATAGAGATGTATGGAGATATCTGAGGTTCTTCATTGGACACGACAACAACAGAAAATTGACCCAGAACAGCAGCTTTACACACCCAAGATAGAGAACATTGCTGTGATAGAGATGTACAGAGATATCTGAGGCTCTTCATTAGACACAACAACAACAGAAAATTGACCCAGAACAGCAGCTTTACACACCCAAGATAGAGAACATTGCTGTGATAGAGATGTACGGAGACATCTGATGCTCTTCATTGGACACAACAACAACAGAAAATTGACCCAGAACAGCAGCTTTACACACCCAAGATAGAGAACATTGCTGTGATAGAGATGTACGGAGACATCTGATGCTCTTCATTGGACACAACAACAACAGAAAATTGACCCAGAACAGCAGCTTTACACACCCAAGATAGAGAACATTGCTGTGATAGAGATGTACGGAGACATCTGATGCTCTTCATTGGACACAGCAACAACAGGAAATTGACCCAGAACAGCAGCTTTACACACCCAAGATAGAGAACATTGCTGTGATAGAGATGTACGGAGATATCTGAGGCTCTTCATTGGACACAACAGCAACAGAATATTGACCCAGAACAGCAGCTTTACACACCCAAGATAGAGAACATTGCTGTGATAGAGATGTATATAGACATCTGAGGCTCTTCATTAGACACAACAACAACAGAAAATTGACCCAGAACAGCAGCTTTACACACCCAAGATAGAAAACATCGCTGTGATAGAGATGTATATAGACATCTGAGGCTCTTCATTAGACACAACAACAACAGAAAATTGACCCAGAACAGCAGCTTTACACACCCAAGATAGAGAACATTGCTGTGATAGAGATTTATATAGACATCTGAGGCTCTTCATTGGACACAACAACAACAGAAAATTGACCCAGAACAGCAGCTTTACACACCCAAGATAGAGAACATTGCTGTGATAGAGATGTATATAGACATCTGAGGCTCTTCATTAGACACAACAACAACAGAAAATTGACCCAGAACAGCAGCTTTACACACCCAAGATAGAGAACATTGCTTCTATAGAGATGTACGGAGACATCTGATGCTCTTCATTGGACACAACAACAACAGGAAATTGACCCAGAACAGCAGCTTTACACACCCAAGATAGAGAACATTGCTGTGATAGAGATGTATATAGACATCTGAGGCTCTTCATTAGACACAACAACAACAGAAAATTGACCCAGAACAGCAGCTTTACACACCCAAGATAGAGAACATTGCTGTGATAGAGATGTACGGAGACATCTGATGCTCTTCATTGGACACAACAACAACAGGAAATTGACCCAGAACAGCAGCTTTACACACCCAAGATAGAGAACATTGCTGTGATAGAGATGTACGGAGATATCTGAGGTTCTTCATTGGACACGACAACAACAGAAAATTGACCCAGAACAGCAGCTTTACACACCCAAGATAGAGAACATTGCTGTGATAGAGATGTACAGAGATATCTGAGGTTCTTCATTGGACACGACAACAACAGAAAATTGACCCAGAACAGTAGCTTTACACACCCAAGATAGAGAACATTGCTGTGATAGAGATGTACGGAGACATCTGAGGCTCTTCATTGAACACAACAACAACAGAAAATTGACCCAGAACAGTAGCTTTACACACCCAAGATAGAGAACATTGCTGTGATAGAGGTGTATGGAGACATCTGAGGACTTCATTGGACACGGCAACAACAGAAAATTGACCCAGAACAGCAGCTTTACACACCCAAGATAGAGAACATTGCTGTGATAGAGATGTACGGAGACATCTGAGGCTCTTCATTGAACACA